ATGCTACAGTTAGTGACCATAGACTGAGACCATGCTATAGTTAGTGACCATAGACCAAGACCAGGCTACAGGTAGTGACCATAGACCAAGACCAGGCTACAGTTAGTGACACTAGACCGAGACCAGGCTACAGTTAGTGACCATAGGCTAGGCGAGCACTAAACAAGACAGTGAATAGGCACCAGCCAGACCTGGACCATAACTAGTAACTCCGGGCCATCTGTAGCCAGGATCCGGAAACTCCCCACCAATCTTGTTGATTGACAGCTCAAACCCACAAGGGATAGTTCCGCAAATCAAATCACGGAAACACGGTGTCTGCGATAACCCGTGGGATGGCAGGGATAGTGAGGGGTCAGGATGTCGGGGAGGGGAATACCTCCCGCCTGAAGCCAATGGGTACTTACCAGAACCACTCACTGCCGAAGCTGGGCACTGAGAACACTCCCCAGTGAATGAAGATGCCAAACTTAGCTTGGTCATACCAGGGGGGCAAGGGCCGGGAGTCAATGGTGTCCCAGCTCGGGGCTGGCAGGGTCTGGGAGCTGCGGGGCATTGACAGCTGGAGCCAGAGGAGGCCACTCAGGCACCAGCTGCTGTACATCGCTGCTCCCTTTCCCAACCAGGAAATGCAAAGCAGGAGGAATGGGAGGTCTCTTCCCAATCACACCGTGAATTCCCGTTGGGTCCTAGAGAGCACCTCAATGCTGGGAATGAGACGGGGAACGGCGCAAGGGCTTGCCAACTCCCGCAGCCCTCCCTCTTTATTCTTCAGTTTAGCTGTAACTTGTGTGAACCCACTTTAACAGCCTTTCACCGAGGTCTGGATACCAGGTGAAAACCAAAAGAACTGCGGATGCTGTAAATCAGGAACAAAACCAAAGTTGCTGGAAAAGCTCAGCAGAACTGGTTCTGAGGAAGGGTCACCGGACCCGAAACGAACGTTAACTCCTCCACAGACCTGCTGCCAGACCTGCTGAGCTTTTCCAGCAACTTTGTTTTTGTTCTGGATACAAGGTTATTGTCGATCCTGGTAAAACTGAATACTTATTGCTCACACATCATTTGCAGGAGGCCATTCGGCAAACTCTGGGCTGTACCACCAGTCAGATCATTCATGATTTATCTGCATCGTGGCCCCTATTAGTTTGCCTCTGTTTCATATCCCTTCGAACACCTCTCCCGAACCAAACTCGGATCAATCGCTGAATTCGCAGCACCAGAGCTGGAGTAGGCGATTTGGCCCCTCGAGTGTGCTCTGCCATTCTACAGGTTAACTGATCAATGCCCTATGCACACAGTGCCCCCAGATTCCTTGATGCCATTAGTAATTACACAGAACAATCTCTGTTTTAAACTTACAATGACTGAGCTTCCGTAGCCTCTAAGGGGAAAAATTCATCCCTATTATAAGATTCAGCAGGGAAGACGGTCCTCCTCATCTTGATCCCTAAATGACAAACATTTCATTTTTAAACTGTGTCCCCTATTTCTAATATTTTTGACAGAATTTCCCAACTTCAATAATCGATGCAGGATATGTCATTGATGCCTGTCAGTTTATTTCTGTCAATACATTAGGCATTAACTGGGGATTTTA